CCGAGTATAATGTCGATCTGGCTCAACAGATTGAAAGCAGCTACGATGCCACAGTCACCATATCGGAACTTGTAAACAGAAGGGGAAAACTCAATCAAACATTCAACACACCGAACAAGCACTAAATGTAAGGAGTCTGATTTCCTCGCCTCTCTATCAGTGGCTGTTGAAAATACGTATGACACCAGAAAGGAGCTGCTTTTACTTGGATACTTAAATATGGACATGCATGAGAACAAGGATGAGGGACGTTTTCACGACAATAGGCTAGTAGACTTCTGTAATCGATTATGTCTCTTAAACAGAATCAACGAACCGACAAGAGTAACTAAAACATCTTAAAGTCTCATTGATGTGTTGTTAACTAGTCACGCGGAATGTTACGCTACAAGTGGCTCTTTACCCCTATGACGGAGCGATCACTACTTAATCTTTACCGTGCGAAAAAAATATGAATTCAAGGCCAAAGCCGCGCTTGATCGAGTTTAGGAGTATGAAGAATTTTAGCTTGTCTAACTTCTTGGCTGACTTAAAATGGATTCCGTGGTCTTCGGCCTCACTTTCGACAATGCCGATGATGTATGGGCTTATTGGTGAATGCGTTTTAAAGATGTTCTTGATCAGCACATACCCCGCCTCACTCTAGTCTTTAAACGAGGGACTGACACAGATAAAGCAAACTATCGCCCTGTCTCAATCTTAACTTCACTGTCGAAGGTGTTTGAGAAAGTTATTTATGATCAAACTTTAAAAGTTTTTCACAACGTTTTGTCCTCTAACTTATTTGGTTTTATGAAAACCCATTCTTGCCGCACTGCATTGCTACAAATGAGTGAAGATTGGAGGAACAGCATTGACAACAGAGAAGCTGTCGGGGCGGTCGCTGTAGACCTGAACAAAGCGTTTAAAGCAATTAACCACCACCTTTTGTTCACGAAACTGAAGGCCTATGGCTTCTCTCCACATGCCTTGGAAATGATGTCCTCTAACCTGCTGGGCCGTCAACAATGTGTCAGTGTAGCGGGTGTATGCCCTAACTTCAAATCAGTTAAAACTGGTGTCCCTCGAGGTTTACTTTTGGAGCCACTGCTCTTCAATATCTCTATCAATGACCTACATCTCATTGGGGCTGTACGCCGATGATACAACTGCCTACCTGTTAGATGTATTTCCTACCATCCCGGAATTTCCATTAACAAAGATCTACAAACTCTTCCGTCGTGATTTGATTCTAACCAGTAACGGTGAATAATACTAAGACTCGAGCATTAATCCGTCGGACCCTGTGACTATATTTTTTATTCTTTATTTCTTAATGATGTTAAAGTAGAACTTTTCAAATCTATTAAAATTCTTGGAGTTACTCTAGATAAGGACCTATCCTATAAGGAACACATATCAGATCAAGTAAAGAAGGCTTAAATGAAGGCCTTTGTGCTGAGATTGATAAGACATTTTCTGCCTTATGACGCCATGATAAAACTATATAAAGCCTTTATTTTACCACATCTAGAATATTGCAGTCCTTTATTTGTAAGCTCAGGTAAAGGTCAACGTAACTGTCTCGAAGACGGCAACTGTTACATATTGAGAACATTAATTGGGCATAATAAGTCAATGTCATACGACAAGCTGCTCATTACGGCTAACATGAAATCCTTATATTTTAGGCACTTAAATCAGGCGCTAATACCTCTTTTTAAATGCTTACGTGTTGTGGGACTTTTTTATCATGGGAACCTTTTTAAATACAGACATACACCATATGGGGAAAGAGATGAGGGCTCGACTTTCTGATTTTGGAATTACCTAATTCAAAAGAATTCCTTCTCTTATTTATGAACTAAGTTATGGAACAGTTTGCCCTCTCAAGTACGTCTTTCAAGGGATGTAAATCACTTTAACAGTAAATTGCAAGATTGTAGCTTTTTAGAACGTGTCTTATAGACTTCTTCTCACGTTTTTAGCTACTTATAATTTTATCTCGTTTACGATCTAGCTTTTAATATTTTATGTATCTATTGCTAGTTTTTATATATTTAGTGAATTGTTTTAAAATGGAATGTTATTATATATTGGATGTAATTACTATAGATCTTATTTACACACGTTCGTATTTTGAACAAGTTTTTAGCTCCACTATGAAACGTGTTAAAATAATGAAGTAATGAATTGTCTGAGCGGAACAAAACCAAACAAAGTGAACTAAAAACAATTTGATGAAAATACCTCAGAGTCTAACTCGATAAAATGAAAAACAAATTTTGAAACTCAAAGCTGTAAATCAAAACTACAACCAACAACAGTGGACATCGAAAAATAGCCTAGAATCATAATATATCCAAATCCAACAATCAATTTCAAGGATGAGACACTCTGACTCCAGAGAAACATCTCACATATCGATATCCTTACTGCTGTTGTGGAAGGGAGTTATCATTGTCGGAAATCAGTCGAACTGTTGTTGTTTAAATTGATTTCACACGACCAACGTCAATTGCTATATAGAGGGATTAGGACTACCTGCGTATATATCGAGGGAGTGAAAGGCATCGTGAATTATGAGAATGAACAATTGCGATTTCTAGTGATTAAACGACCATGATCGTTTACTATTAGTGAATTGCGGTGAATTTCTTGGGTGAAGGGAACCATTCGCGATACCATGTTAGTGAAGGTACAATATAAATAAGCCAAGTGATTCTAAAAATATATTTCGTTATTTTTTATCCAACTGTTGATTGTTTGTTCATTTGATCACAACACTGAAGTCTCTTACCAATTGTCAGAAACCAACCAGACCAACCAATCATCTTGAAATGTGCTTTGTTTAATCAGGTTTCCTAAACTAGTTTTTAAATTTCGATAAAAACAGTGAATACAACATAAGTATTGACTTCTCTAACAGAACAGACTTGAAGAAATTCTTTCGATAATGGACTGGTCTTGTCAGCCAGTTCTGATCAATGATGAGTTTCCTTAGTTTCAGACAGTCTACTGCGCCAGTCCTGGTCAGTTACGTTTCCAGGCAGGATCCAGGCTCCTGCTTGTCACCTGAGTCGGTAACTGACCCAGGATTCTCCTTGTCACTTGAGTCAGTAACTGACCCAGGATCCTCCTCGTCACCTGAGGCGGTAACTGACCCAGGCTCCTCCTCGCCACCTGAGTTGGTAACTGACCCAGGATCTGACTATTCTTCTGATCCATCCCCATTCTTCTTCAGGTTTGACATTAGAATGGAACATGTGACCTAAGGAACAATTCCAGCTTCTCAAATAAGAAAGATATAATATAACCTTAACTGCCACTCACTTGACAATTTTGAAAGTACAACCAATACAATACTGTATTAAATTATTTTTTAATTCAGAGTTAGGGAAATACTTGTCAAACACAGTCTCCCTTCTTCCACCAAACTCAACTGACTTTTGAAAGCTCTGATGACTGAATGTCAACCACAATGCAATATTTACATTAAACTCAAATGGTATGTTTAGAAATTTAGGCAGGCAGAAGCCTTTCCTGAATTAACAAATAGCTAAATTCATTCACAGCATCTTGAATGCCATGAAAATATTGATCCTAAATCACGAAATTGGTATTCAAATTGTTTTTTTGCTTTTAGTGAAGACTTCAATCGGTAGTTAAGGTTTTGCTCTTTGTCACACTGAAATATCTGTGATTTTCTGAAGAATGGCTGCATTTAGGACTTCTTGTATTTGCATCAAAAGAAATGACAGTCAGCCTAATTAATTAATTAATTGCCGAGGCAGCACATAACCATTAACCTACTAAACTAAAACATGACAAAAAATACCTCAGTTTCTAACTCAGTAACATGAAAATTAAATGATGAAGCTCAAAGCTGTAAATCAAAACTACAATCAACAATATTGGACATCGAAAAATAACCTTAAATATATTCAAATCTAACAATCAATTTCAAGGATGAGACACTCTGACACTAAAGGAACACCCCGCACGTTCTTAGCAATGTTGTGGAAGGGAGTTACCATGTTGGTGAGGGTACCAATTTACCTAAGCTAAGTGACTCTAAAAAAATATTTTCTTATCTTTTATCCAACAGTCTATTGTTTGAAGAATTTAGATATGTGAAAATTCACATATTTGCACTGCGGTGGAGAGATGAAATTAGAAGATCCTCGCAGCTAAGAACACTACTGAAACTAGTAGTTGTAAATAGGACCTGAAAAAAATTCAGGCCCGTACGGGATTTGAACCCATGACCTCTGCGATACCGGTGCAGCGCTCTACCAATTGAGCTAACAAGCCAACTGGGAGCTGGTCAATGAATTGGGTTCAAATAAACATCCAAGTGAATGAAGAATTTAGATATATGAAAATTCACATATTTGCACTGCGGTGGAGAGATGAAATTAGAAGATCCTCGCAGCTAAGAACACTACTGAAACTAGTAGTTGTAAATAGGACCTGAAAAAAATTCAGGCCCGTACGGGATTTGAACCCATGACCTCTGCGATACCGGTGCAGCGCTCTACCAATTGAGCTAACAAGCCAACTGGGAGCTGGTCAATGAATTGGGTACAAATAAACATCCAAGTGAATGAAGAATTTAGATATATGAAAATTCACATATTTGCACTGCGGTGGAGAGATGAAATTAGAAGATCCTCGCAGCTAAGAACACTACTGAAACTAGTAGTTGTAAATAGGACCTGAAAAAAATTCAGGCCCGTACGGGATTTGAACCCATGACCTCTGCGATACCGGTGCAGCGCATTTACAACTACTAGTTTCAGTAGTGTTCTTAGCTGCGAGGATCTTCTAATTTCAGTCTATTGTTTGTTCATTTGATCACAACACTGAAGTCTCCTACCATTGGTCAGAAACCTACCAAACCAACCAGTCATCTTGAAATGTGCTTTGTTTAATCAGGTCTACTAAACTTATTTTCAAATTTTGTCCAACATAATGACTACAACTTAGGTATTGACTTCTCTAACTGAGCAGATCTGAAGTTATTCTACTAATGGATGGACTGGTCTGGCCAGACAGTTCTGACCAATGGTGAGTTTCCTTAGTTTCAGGCGGTGTACTGAGTCAGTCCTAGTCAGTAACGTTTCCCAGCAGGACCCAGGCTCCTCCTCGTCACCTGAGTCAGTAACTGACCCAGGATCCTCCTCGACACCTGAGTTGGTAGTTGACCCAGGATCTTTCTCATCACCTGAGTCAGTAACTGACCCAGGATCCTCCTCGTCACTTGAGTCAGAAACTGACCCAGGATCCTCCTCGTCACTTGAGTCAGAAACTGACCCAGGATCCTCCTCATCACCTGAGTCAGTAACTAACCCAGGATCCCCCTCGTCACTTGAGTCAGTAACTGACCCAGGATCCTCCTCATCACCTGAGTCAGTAACTGACCCAGGATCTGGCTCGTCTTTTGATCCACGATATTCGCTCCAAAACTCTCTCCAGTATTCATCTGTTGGCCATTCTTCTTCAGGTTTGACATTCCTTTCATCATCCTGTCACAAATCACACACCAACACTCAAAATTATCTTGTCAAACAACATACACAAGAACTCAAACTTGTTTACCCTCGATACTTTTCATAAAAAGAGAAATTACACCAAGAGTATTTTTGACTGCGTCAATTAAAAGCAACTTTGATACTGAGAAACATTCCTTGTAGGCTTATGTCATAAGGCTCACTAAAATTTAGATATCATTCATGGTAGGGCCCATACTGAATATATTATAAGAGAAATAAACTTGAATGTTTAAGAAATATACATTACATCATATGATGAACAAAAAATCATTCAGTGACCACCTTTCGCACAGTCCTACAGGTACACATAGCTGACAAGCCCATACAGAGAATACAAGGTAACTTTCAGCGTAAAGGTTCAGTAATTCATGTGAGAACAAGGAACTGCTGATGTCCCCTCTTATGTGGTTCTGAATATTTACTTTGTGGCTTGTCCCCAGCTAGCACTCATTTTCAAAGTTAGGAACTGTGTACATGGACATCATTTGTGAGCGTTACCGTGAACGGTGACTAACCATTTGCAATACGAGACTTTTAATCCACGAAGGCTTTGAGATAACTCACACAAAATTTTACATTATTAGCTTAACACTAAGACCAAAAAAATCGAGAAACTGAACAAGATAGTGCGGTTTCAACTCAGTGGCCTCTTAGCACCATTCGAAGATGCACTAAAAAACTCTTAAATGTCCTGTATGGGTAACCAGGCAACAGCTGGGCGTCGACCAGCCGCAACAGTGAGCCTTTCAAATGATGCATTATTTTTGTAGTTCAGCAGCTCATTGACTTGGCAGTCTGCTTAGTAAGTTTGTATAAAAAAATTACCATAGAAATCTTACAAAGTTAGGGTGAACTTGATTCAGATGGATGTAACCTTCATTGTTATTTTCATACAAGCTGATTAATGAGGAGTTCTCTGAACAAAGTTGGAAAAAAATTTGATCATAGTAACTGCACATCAATTACATTAGAGAATCTGTACCTGCAAAATTTGAACCAATAGCTCTCTTACAGCTGTAGCATTTTCTCTGCTAATTTTCAAGTAGCCCCTAAGTCATTTCTTTTCTAATGGACAAAGTTCCTGGAGAAACTTCTAGTTGAATGGGAGAAAAGGAAAACATGTGTGAAAAGCACTTTAAGGCAAAAAAACTTTGGTAATTTACAGCATTATTTTCAAAACCTAAACTGAAAACTAATACACTGAGTGAATCAATCAAAAGAAAAATACAGATTTATGCTGAACTTCCTTCTACAAAATGCCCAAATACTCTTTGAGAAGCTTTTTCTAAAGGAATACTTGGGTATCAAAAGTTTTTCTCAGAGCGTTCAGAAACACCCCAAAATTTAGCTTCTCCTTCATCAGAAAGAGGCTTCAGCTTTAAAGTATGACTTTGTTTAACCACTCTTAAGTGCCGTAAATAAAGCGAAGTGAAAGAACTAAGGTCTCAAATCATTTCATATGGACAGATGTTCAGTTCATGGTAAGTACAAGTAATTGTTTGCTCCCTCAATTCCTGTTTCTGTTATGGAAATCAAGACCACTTTCCTAAGAAAAAAAAAAGCTAAACGAGTAAACGAAACTTGAAAACTAGTAGCAGATGTTCTTGATTGTATGACAAGTGTAGAAAGTAGCTCTTTGATCTCTTTCAAACACTGACATTAACTTTCTGTCATTAATATCTGAAAACAAGCGGCTGTCCTCACATTCACGCGCACAGAGAGGTAACACATTCACCTCGGTTTTTTCCCCTTTTTTCTGGCCCTAATTACAAAAGGAATAGCTTCATTAAGGTTAAAGGCATGAAATTAGGAATGGAGCGTATCCAGATTCTCTGTTTCCACGGTACATACTCGAAATAATATTGACCAAACTCAAAAACAGACTTCAGACTTCAGCCTTCCTCTCGAAGGCAAACAAACTTACTTAAATGGGTTCTCATCTTAACTAAAAAAATGACTTGCTTCCAAGTTTAACAGATTAAATGGTAGTGACAAAGACTGATTGTAAAATGTTCTAATGTGTGGAAGGCTTTTCAGTAATTCGAAATGTAAAACCTTTTTCGTGAAATCATTAAAATCATTAAAAAGCCACAATATTTGATCAGCTTTAGATTTCCTCTCCTATTTTGGCATCCTTTCAAAATTTAAAAGACGCTAGCTATTGTGAGGTAGTTATTACTAATACTGAAAGTTCCACCGTGATTAAGGGTGCGTTTCTTTAAAAAAATCCAAGATTGGATTCTTAATCCGAGATCATGCGGATTCGTTATTTTTAAAGACACGAAAAATCCGAAAATGGATTTTTTTTTCAATTAGCCGTAACGACCCCAGCATGCAGTTCGCGTGTTTTGGGGGGAGTTTTCAAAATGGCGGAAAGTTTTGGTTTGATGTTTGAACTGTTCGAAGAAGTCCTTGCCGATGACCTTGAACAACAACAGGTTCTTTTAGGAGCCGATGACGAAGCAGTTTTATTCCTTTTGGCGGCCGGACAGCTCGTCCGAAAAGAACACGTTCGCACAAAGAATTTTTACGAAATAACCCCACCTAGTTACATACCGGGGGACTTCCGAAGTCACTTCCGCATGTCACGGCATACAGTTACAGTTCTCGAACATTTGCTTTCGGTCCACGGCGACTTACCTCAATACACCGGCGATAGAGGAAGACCACCGGTCGAGTTAAGAAAGCAAATCCTTATTACGCTGTGGATTCTTGGGAATCCAGAATGTTTACGCTCTGTTGCCGATCGATTTGATGTTTGCAGGGCAACTGCGTACAGAGTCTACAGACGAGTTTGCAAAGCAATAGTGAGGAACTTAATGGATGAGTTTATCAAGTTTCCAACTGGTCTAAAAGCCCAAGCGGTGATGGAGGCCTTTGAAGAGAAAAAGGGTTTTCCGGGTGTTTTGGGGGCTATTGATGGCACCCACATACCAATCAAAGCACCACATAACAATCATGAACAATACATAAATCGCAAAGGTTTCTTTTCCGTCCAACTACAAGTCATTTGTGACCCGGATTTATTCATAACCGATGTTTTCTGTGGTTACCCTGGTTCAGTACACGATGCTCGCGTGTTTCGTAATTCTCCGATCTGCCGAGAAGTTGAAGTGAACCCAGACAATTATTTTCCTGGCAACTCCCACATTTTGGGAGACGCAGCATATCCCTTGAAGAGGTGGCTGTTGACCCCATTTCGAGACAACGGACGTTTGACTGCTCAACAAAGACGTTACAATACTGCCCACAGTTCCACTAGAATGGTGGTTGAGAGGTCCATAGGGCTTTTTAAGAACAGGTTTAGGAAGCTAAAAACAATGATGGATGTTGACAAAATTGAGGACATACCGGAAATTATTGTATCCTCTTGCATCTTACACAACATTTGCATTATTGAAGATGACATCGATGATTTTTTAGATGACTCTAATGATGATGATGACAATGATGACAATGATGATGACATCTTTCCACCAGGTGTAGGAGCAGTTGATAAGAGAAACATGATAATGAGACTGATCCCATAAACCTAGCATTTATAAGTGGTTTATGTATTGATACCTTTTGTACTGTGGTGTTTTCATGAACACTTCTTTCATAGGTTGTGTATGTCATTCATAAAGTTTATACTGTATAATAGTCTTTTTGCTATAAATATCAATATTTTATTTGTTTTTAAAAGTATATAAGAAAATAGTAGAGCCATGTACATGGATCACTTTATACTACCTGAAACATTTATGGTGTTGCTTGAAATGTAAACTTTCAACACAAATGTAACAGCCTAATACTCTGACAGTCCAGGTTGCTTGTGTCACGCACAGAAAGGAGGAAGTGCGTGACACAAGTGATCTGAAGCATCTGAGAATCAGGCTAAAAAAAGTAAAGGATATAAATAATATCAAAACCAGTTTAGTTAGGCCCTCTCACCTAATGTTGCTGTTGTAGTTCCTTGTATGTATGTGATAAAAAAAAACATACAACTTGCAATAATACTGTTAACATGTATGATATAATAAACTTTTAGATAACTCAATACTGACAACAAACTCAGGTTTACTGTATCTATGTTCATGTTTGTGGTCAAATAATCCCATGTTCTGCAACACAATAAAAAATTATGGAATCAAGGTTACTCTTTGTTCAATGATTTTTCAAAAACATTCAAAAATCGGCCGATGAGTGCCATGCGTTCATTGTGCATATTTTCAAACTTTTTAATCTTTTCCTTTTCTTCCTCTTTCCTGTCTTGTGTAAATTCCTTAAAGAGCCCAACGAGGTCTTCTCTTTTCTTCCGCTCTGGTAACTTCTTTTTCTTTGCTTTTGTAACCACAGGCTCCTCTGTGTCACTACCTGTGGAACTCAATGTGGAACTGGAATTTTTAACACTCTTGACTGCATCTTTGCTCCGTTTACCATCAATGTTGCTGCACAATGTTTTTGGAGCGATGGCATCATCTTTCGAAAATATTTCGTGAAGTTCGTCATAGAAGTTGCATTTCTTTCGGTCATTTCCGCTGACTTTGTTGTGATCAACACAAGCAACATAACTTCTCTTCAGATTTTTCAATTTCGTCTCACACGCCTTGGCATTAAAGAACACTCCGTTCTTCTTTAATTCTTCGCTGATTTCTTCCCACAGGGACTTGTTCTTTTTGTTTATATCTTTAAATCGTTCTCTGCGTTCGACATAGCAGGAAATTAACAACAGCACATCAGCTCTAGACCAGCGTACAAGAGCTCTCGATTCGCCTTCGGTGCCTTCACGCGACTGACTGAACGTGGCTGCAGCTGTTTCCAAAGAAGAAAAACTTGGACCAGGCTGAGGTGATACTGATCTGACTGTTTCATGGCTGAACTGTGATGCCTGCGGTGGTGGAAACATGAACTGAGGAAGATAAGGTTGAATGCCCGGTTGAACGTGGCTTTCGTTCCACTGATATTCTGGATATTCACCTGCAGATAAACTGTGCGTCCAATATTGTCCTGTAGATAGAAATAAAAGATGCCAAGACGCATCAAACATCCGGAAAATTTATAAAAATACGTACAGGACGGAAAATTTCGGTGAAACTACACAAAAAACTCACCTTGTTTATTCGCCATGGACGGCAGCAGCTAATATTTACAACAAAATGGCGGGAATGTGGCGGATTTTAAGAAGACGACCGCTTGCCAAACGTACTGCTTTTTGTATCCGTGCAATAAAGAAACGCACGGATCATGAATCCTAAAAATCCGGATTTAGATTTGATCTAATGAATCCACTCGGAGTGTGGATTCTATAGATTCAAAATCCATTTTCGGATTTTATTAAAGAAACGCAAAATCCGTTTTTGGATTCAAGAATCCGGATTTGGATTTTTTTAAAGAAACGCACCTTAAAATTCGAGTAGGAAGAAATTTTCTGCACACCGTTTGGTATCTCAATTCTCGCTCAACTTTCCACAATGCAGGATACTCCTTTACCGACTGACATACCGAAAAAGAAGCAAACTGAAAAATGTCTTATTTTCTTCGCGGACAGTCCTTTCAGTTCTATGTTATTATTTCTTTGCGGGCGAACTGACAAAGTGATTTTAAACGCCGAGAATTGCAAGGTGGTCCAGACTTCTTCCAGAAACACAGCAAAAAGTAAATGCAAACAACAAAGCGACAGCGATGTAAACAGCGGAATAAAAATATAACTGCAAACCGTGATATTTACACATGTCGCATGAAAGAATTCAACTTAATTACAAATTACATTTATAAAATTGATTTGAACTGACTGGTGGTGACTTTTCATGAGATAAACTTTCCGCTTGTTCTATAAAAGCAAAGAAAATATAACGAACCAAGGGCATAAAAATTCTTAACACTACACCACGGTAAATTGAACAGAACAGACATCAATAATGACATGTGCAAACTAAGATCACAAAACTTACGTGGTATTCTGTCTTGAAAAAGGAGAGGTTTCTCTGACGTACAGCTGCACTCAAATCATTCACTTGTTGCTGTGTCATTTTAACATTAACAAGGCACAGCGTCTCCAGGTGAGGAACGCAGCTGAGATGTCGAGTGAGAACACTTAGTCCTTCACCAAGAGGGTTCGCTGACAAGTTGAGAATGCGCAGGCTAGGAGCCTGGTGCAGAGATCTGGCGATGGTTGCGGCAGGTTTGGCTGTTAAATTGATATTAAAAAGTTCTAATGTGTGAAGTTTGTCAGTGAAGATGATACGAGACACAAGGGTCTCTGTCAACTGAGCATCAATGATTTCAAAGGGTTTCCAAGTAATAACTATACATCGCAGAGCAGTGAAAAGTGGTAAGAGATTAGCCACCATCTTCATCTCTTTCCTTTCTATCTCGTTTATATCAATCTTCTTTACACAGGAAAGGCTCTGAGGAGTCGGACCAGTGATGCTATCAGTGTTCTTAGTCAAACACGAAGTTGTTTCGCTGTCGTGATCATTTAACGGGTCACCAACACGCTTCACCTCAGTAGACTCTGCTGTTGGCGAAATGAGCTCTCGCAGCATTTCAGTCGGAAAAGTACCAACATCTTCTTCTTTCCATATTTCATCAACATAAACGATGACTTTTCTCTCTCTCTTCAAAACGAACTCTTCCAAAGGACGCGGGAACTTCTTCAGTAAATCTGCAGCTTTCTTTTCGCCCGAACAGCTTAAAAAAACAGCATTTGTGTCCTCCGCTACAGTGATCAAGTCTTGAAAGCTTTTCTCTGAATACTCTTCGTAGGTAGGAAAAAAGATAAAGTCGGGTATCACGGCAGATTTCAGCAAATGTTCATTTGCAGTCATGTTCAGCTGGTTAGAATCAAGAGACAAAACACCTCCAGTGTAAGAGGGAACCGCTGAGCAGAGATCTCGCCTCTTCTCGGCCGAACAACAAATGTAGCTATGCGAGATAAGCTGAAGATAAAGTTGTTCATCTTGAGACAGTTTTTCATTCTCAATGAAATCACATTTCGACAAAGATTCCTTTCTTCCAATAGAACCCACATGATGAAAAATTGCGCACGCGGCTTCTGTTGACAGCTCACAGGCAAATTTCAGAACTTCATTCATCTTCACGATCTTTTCAAATGATTCAACTTTGGAAAGGCTAGGCGTACTTTCTCCTTTCGACAACACTTCATCCTTAATGTGCCAGGCTGCAAGGAACTCCTGTACGGATTTATGAATGAAATAGGCCCCTTTCTCAGGATTGAGACTCGTAAGATTGAGAATCTGGAAAAGCCCAACTGCACTTAATTTTTGAAAACTTCTTAAAATATTGCCGGGGAGTTTGATGCAGCGTACGTAAGGACGGTCTTGCAGAAGTGCTTCAAAGGCAGCCTTTCCAAGATTACTCAGGTCTTCCCTGGCTTCTGTTGAGGTCACTTTCTGAAATGGCATAGACTGGTGACTTTCACCTTTGTGATCTAGCATTGTTTGAATGAATTGTGTGAATATGTCTGCCCGTGATTTTGGCAGTCCTTCGTGATGTTTCCCTTTCCACAAAACACACAGCATCAGAAGGAGGAGAGGTACTTTTGCCATGTCAAGGAGATACTTTTCTTTCAGGTAGGACATGAACTCTTCAAGATCATCCTCACTTGCCAAAAACTTTCTCGCAAAGGTTTCGATTTGTTCCCAGCTTTTGAAACCGTGAATCTCAAACTGAACGTGGCTGGGGCCTCTTAACTCGTCACATTTAAGTTGACGCGTGGTGACAATAACATGACAATCTCTCAGCTGCTCACCCTTCCAAATTTTAAGGATGGGTGAGTGTTCTTTTGGACAGCTGTACTCATCGTAGCCATCCAAAATCAGAAGCACTTTATCTTGATTTTTAACTATGTAATCATAGAGACTATCAACTGAGATCGGACTATCACTGGCCAGCAATTTAGACGCACGCAAAATATCACGGATGTTTCCTACGTCACACACATCTCGCAACTTAATCAGAATCAAAACCAAAAAGTTCTCTAGGATTTCTTTTAAGGCTTTCGACCAGTCATACGCAGCTTTTTTACAAAACGTACTCTTGCCAATTCCTGGCCGACCATAAACAAGCATTCGAGTTGGTTTTCCCTTGAACATGTCGGTGTAATCTTTAAGTTCCTTTTGTGTCACTCTGCTGGGCTGCCTGTGATCTCTGACCCAACTCAAAGGTGTGTAGATCTCATCAATCTGAATGGTAGAGCTTTCGTCCCATGGAACGATTTTCACCTTACTGAAGGTTTCATAATAAGATTTTAGCTTCTCTTGGCACTTCTCAACATTCAAAGGTTCTGAAAAATAGAGAAAAGAAACATGAACTTTTATTGCTGGGATGAGTGAGCATACGATGCCAAGTTTCCAAAACCACACGAACTCTAGCCTGTACAACAGGCGCAATTTTTTGACGCTTCTCAGTCCAATGGAGTGAGGGGTGGGGCGAGCGCGAAGTCCGAGTTAACTGCGAGGGGAGAAGCTCCAAAACAATATCTTATTTTCATTTTGTGATTGATCATTTTACAAAGGCAGGGGGAAGAAAAATGGGGTCGAGGGGTGGGTGTTAACGGGCACACCCATAGATATGTCCTCGTTTTACCTGCCAAACAAGTTTTTTTTTTCTCCGGAGTTAAGTCACTCGGAGACGACTCTTCATCACGGCGTTTCACCTTTGGCCGATCCAAATGTTTAGTAGAAACACCTGCATGATAACAAACGTTAAAAAAAAATAGACTAGATTTTTGGACTCAACAGATTCATTGTTCTCTTTTCTGTCTGCCAGAAAGAAAAATTATGATCACCACGTAAACGTACTTGGTGACCTACCATTCATATCTCTTGTTTGAAATCGAGCGAGAGGCTTGAAAAAAATATTTCCCATACAATAAGCAACTCAGGGGAAAAACAAAGACATTCACTAAAAATGAATGTTGTAAGGGCACTTGCTGCACGTGCACAGTTGTATCGCATTCTTAACAAATGTTAAAAAAAAATTGGAACAGATTTTCTCGTTCAACAGATAAGCTTGTACATAGCCTTCACGATTTTCCTTTTCCGCTTAAAAGTTTTAAGGTTTTCCCGTCGTTTAGGGCCATTTCATTACGCATACCTACATGTTACACTGAGATATCGTTTTATACGTGATAGGAAGGCCTGGGTACACAAACTGAATTTTTTTTTGGAGTTTGGTGACCTATCATTTACATATCTTTTTAAAATTCGAGAAAAATACTTGGAAAAAACCATCCTTTATGAAAAATAGATAGCAAGTGTAGAGAGACAGAGTCGTTAAAAAAGGAAGTTTGCAACGGTATTTCCTGTATCTCTGCATTCTAGTAGGTGAGCTAGTTACTTTCCAACAAACTGATATTGACTTAGCTATTCATCGAAAAATTTGTCTCTGATGAAAACAACTCACCAGTTCGTTTCTTAAATTCAATGGATTCCAAAGCCTAGAAGCTGGAGGAAATAGCGGCAACCTTACGCTGACAGTCGGCAGTTAAGTAGTGAGTGAATTTTACACTACCAGAAAACTACATGAAAATATACAAACGCATCAAATGATCGTCCTTCGCTTTGATTTGGTTACCCACAAATGAAGCGACACTTTACCTGTTGCGAGGTACTGTCAACAACGAACACAGAAGATACAGTGGCCAAAAAGCATAGTGTCTGAGAATTTAGGCACTATTCTTGTATGTAATTGTATATTTATTGAATTTCAAGATAAGTGGTATATTACCAGTCATAAGTTGCTCAGCTAAATCTGTGCTTTTAACCAATGGATGACACAGTGCATCATGTAGGATCGTGTATGTTGCAGTTGAGCCATTCCTCTCCTTCCAATGTAGTAACATTCTGTAACTTTTTTCAAACCATCCCTTATTTTCCATATCAAACGCCGTTAATGTTGGTTTGTCAATTTTTAGACGACGCCCGACTACCATCCAATTTTCGAGTTTCTGCGAAAGCCAATCTAACTCTTCGTCGCTGGGAACTCCTTGCTTAACTAAAAACATAAAGACATCACAGCAAAGCGTCAAGATGAGGGGATAGCGAGTATTACGTATCGCAGCTATTCATGCCATTTTGTTAGATCCACGCATTTTTATTTTACAAAGGCAGGGGGAAGGAAGATGGGGCTGGGGGGGGGTGGGGGCTAACGGGCATGCTCATCGATGTCCTCATTTTACCTCTTGCCATCACGGCGTTTCACCTTTGACCGACGCGAATGTTTAGTAGAACCACCTGCATTATAACAAAAAAAATCCACGCCCACATACGCGAACAGAAGATATCTTGTTCCTTATTTTTTCAGCCAGTAAGAAAAACTGTCATTGCCACGTAAACGGATTTGGTGACATATCATTTATATCTCTAGTTTGCAATCGAGCGAAAAGCTCTAAAAAACTCTTTTTCATACAATGAGCAACTTGGGTAAAGCCACTCTAAATCTTCATCGCTGGGAACTCCTTGCTTCACTACAAACATAAAGGCATCACAGCAAAGCATCAAGATGAGAGAATAGCGGGTAGTACGTACCGCATCTATTCATGCCATTTTGCTGGATCCACACATTTTTATTTTCAAAAACCAGGGTTAAAGAAGATGAGGTTGGGGGCTGTGGGTGGTGGTGGGGATTAACGGCCACACCCATAAATGTGTCCTCATTTTACCTGCTAAACGAGTTTTTCTTTTCTTCGGAGTTAAGGCGTCACTTGGAGACGACTCTTCATCACGGCGTTTCACCTTTGGCGGACGCAAATGTTTAGTAGAACTACCTGCATGATAACAAATGTAAAAAACAATAACTAGATCAGAACATATTATTTGAGCCCACAGATTCATTGTAGCAATAGAGCTTTTTTCTGATGAAAAGCCACTCTAAATCTTCGTCGCTGGGAACTCCTTGCTTGGCAAAAAACATAAAGACATCACAGCAAAGCATCAAGATGGCATGATTGCGGGTAGTACGTACCGCATCTATTCATGCCATTTTGCTGGATCCACACATTTTTATTTTACAAAAGCAGGGAGAGGGAAGATGGGGTTTGGGGGGTGAAGGTAAACGGGCACGTCCATAGATATGTCCTCATTTTACCTGCTAAACGAGTTTTGACGAAAATGTTTAGTAGAACTACCTGCATGGTAACAAATGTTAAAAAATTATTAGACAAGAACATATTATTTGAGCCAACAGTTCCATTGTAGCAATGGAGCTTTTTTCCTTTCCTAATGAAACGTCTCCTAATGAATTTGTTTCAAGGCCAATTTGTGCCATTGCATTATGCATCACTACTGTGCATCATGTTACACAAAAAATGCACGTCCACATACGCGAACGGAAATATGTCTGTAACCTTACGCTTACAGTTGGCAGTTGTGTAGTGAGTAAATTTTGCGCTACCAGAAAACTAAATCAAAATAAATACGCATCAAATGATCTTCCTTCGCTTTGATTTGGTTACCCACAAGTAAAGCGACACTTTTCCAGTTTCGAGGCACTGTCAACAACGTACATAAAAGATACAGTGGCCAAAAAGCATGGTGTCTGAGAAGTTAGGCAAAGATGGCCAAAATGAAAGCAAAAGCAAACAGCTTGATAAATGTTCTCTTCCCTACATTAAAGGGAACATTTCTCTTTGGGTCTTCCATTAGTGTGCATGGAGACTAAACCTCTTCCCAACTCGAATTTGCCCCAACGAAACATAAAGTATTGACCAGGTTCATTCAATAACTTTGAGATATACAACGTTCATCATTTTCTCAGCAGTTTCCTTTGATGATAGCGCACTCAGCGAAGGGATCATGTGCTACAGAGACAACTCATGGCACTTTAACAAACAAGGTTTCATGTATAAAACAACAAATTTGCTCCAACATAACTTGCAAGTTCATAAGGGTTTGCATCCATTTCTAACAGGAGTTTATTATAGGATTACTCTTACTAGTATTACGAAATGTGAATCAAATGTTCAGTTAGCAATGATAATTTGGTTTCATTAACTGAGTTGATAACGTAAATTGACCTCTGTAGAGAGATTCTGAAACTGATGTTTCGAGTGTTAGACCTTCGTTGGACCGATTAGGAAATGTGGGTTGGGTGTGGTTAATAAAATGGGGGTTGGGCTGGGGGGGAGGGAAGGGGGGTTAAGGCAGGAGTTTCTAGGTGTATTACTGGGGGGTCGGTGGTCTTCTTCACAGAGGGAAAAATGCTATCAAACATTCAACGGTTTCAAGAAATATTTAAGAAAAAAAACAGGTATTAACTTTTATTGAAAGAATAAATATGCACACGATGCCAAATTTGTAAAACCACACAAACTCAAGTTCAGTTTCCTTGGCACGAAAGCATTAAGGTAATTAACCCCTGCCGCCGCGCTCTCTCCCTTCCCCCCTGCAAAAACAAACCCACACTCAGTTCATTAAGTTTTACCTTTCTCGGTAGCTCTTCTTAAATTGCAGGGAAGATTAAATTTCCAGCATTGATTTCATCATGGATCAATAATGTTGGGAAACGAAGCGGCCAAAGTAACAACAAAAAACTTCATGAATTTTAATTTCGTAAAATTTTGCGGAGTACTGTTTCTTGAACAATAATAACAAGTTGGTAGAAGAAAAGGAAAGAGAAGAATTTTGACTGTCCTGTCACGAGCGTGAGACAAAGGAACAATTTTGAGTCCTCACCAGGAATAGAACCTAACACATCCAGATTCCGCGCTCAGACACTCCACCACTTTAAGTATAGTATAAGTTATTAAAACCAAAGCTTACTATGACATTTCTTCATTTGATAATTATAATACCTGCTAGCCTTGTACGTTTATTTTCTGAAGGATCATCACTTTTACAACTCTCCTCTTCAGCTGAAATGTCTGCAAAAGGGAAAGAAAAGTCAAACTGTAATGAGCATTAAAATATGCCTTACTAAATTTGTGAAATGGGTAACAAGCAGGAGTCGAAATAAGTGCTGACTGAAGATGAAAATCTCGTCTCTAAAAGAGAGAAGAGAAAATTGATGGACTTCAAGAATTGAAATTCATTAGAACGGAATAAAAGCTACGATTTAGATCTCAACAAAGTTTTAACCCGCTCAGTAGCAGTTAGGTATTTCGTAGAAAGGTAAACAAAGAAAATTTGGGTTCATCTTACTACGCACAAGAGTCTGGACACGAAAACAATAGTTATGAGGGCAGGAGGATAAACTCTCTCTAATCTGGAATTTTAGAACCTTATCCATGACTACAAAATTGGAATTAAAGCTACCAAAGCGAATTTGCTCATATCTCGGACTTTTTGAAAGTTCTTTTTTACAGCAATGCGATTGAAAGACAAAGAATGCTTATGTTTTTCAGTTTTCTTATATTTATTTAACTCCGCTGTTGCTCTCCATGTTCTCATCAGCAGATAACGATACTCTCTACAAAGGACAACTAGCAAGCGTATCAAGAAATGGTCTATTTTTCTGCCTCAACTTTTCCGTTAAGCATCAAATAAAAGCCCTTCTGTAATTGGTAGTACTGAGGGACTTTGGCCGAAGGGAGGCGGAAAAGCTCGTAACTCATCGGGAAAATAATGGGAGTGACAATTTTTTCTGCATAGGGGGGGTGGGTAGTGGGTAGTGTAAATATGCACCAGTTAGATCAATCTCCATCGGCGCACCCAAGGGTATACTTGACCCTCGATGAGCACATTAAACCAAAGGTTCGTAAGTTTAAAAACAATTAAAGTTATCCTTATTGCAGTGACTCATTTAAACCACCTCTCTCTATATGCAAGTCAAGTCGCCTTGTAAAAAGTCAACACACAAAAATATTTTTTGGTCTTACTACTGATGATAAATGCAATCGAAAATGACTGTTTTCTGTAGAGAGCCTCGAGGCATTAAAGACCTTGTTTCTGGCGCACAGCTGTTTTCAAACAAGGCGCTCGTTTTCTACAACCAACATGTTTACTTAACTGAGGCGTTGAGAACAATTTTCAAATAGGAGGGGTGGGGTTTTTAGCTACGTCAAATTTGAATTTAAGGGCCTATCGGCCAGAGTGTTTTAATATCAGGAATTGTGGGATAGGGAGGTTAAAATCTTCCAATGAACCCTTGAATACCCCTTTCTAAGTATAAAGAGGGTCGTAAAGGGGTGTTGGCATGGCTTTTACGGCTAACGGTTAATATCTTTTCATTGTTGTCAGCATAAATTTTTCTTACAGTTAACTCTTTTACGACTAGCGGATACGATTTGTCAATTTTTACGACGAACGGCTAATTTTCTGGCCGTTTTACGGCTAACGGTTAACTTTACAAGTTAACTCAGTCTTTATGCGACTGCCGAAAGTTCAATACGGAAATCTAATACTAAGGGAGAATTAATGAGAGGGAGATATGGAGAGCGAATCAGCATTTACTCAGAAGATTCAAGTGTTCCAACTCAAGAGAATGAATTTCGGTTTTGTACGTCTCACTTTTATAACTAAGGATGGAATTGAACATGAAAAAATAACATTATTTTGTAACAGGGAACGTCAGGCCTCTGTGTCCATCCCTCCGGTAAGATGGATTTTCATAACAAGATTCATACCAGTGGAGCCTAAGTTTCTTTCTTTAATCGGTAAGCTATCTGTGCGCGATAATCAATTTTTCATGAACTGATATGGAAAACCAATTGGCAGTTTATTCTGCGCGCTCACCTCTATAACTTCAGATGGATTTGAGCATGCAAAAATGAAATATTTATTCTCTTTTAACAAGGAACCTCAGGCTTCACGGTCCATCCCTTTGGAACTGTTTGATTTTCATCACAAGATAAATCACCCTCTCACTGAAGCTTCTTTTTATCAACGATAAGCTATCTGAGCGGGATAAACGACTAATTGTCTTCGTGCACTTTTCATTTTCTAGCGGGTGTGATTTGCACGATCAAAGACATAACTATTAACAGTTATAAAACAATTGAGATAGTTCGATCGAACTCATAGGTCTACTAGTCAGTTTAGACCAGAGTCTGTAGACACAGCTAGTTGTGACGCACACTTTTAATTTTTGCCAGCGAAATTTGAAAACATTTCAAACTCGAAGTTTTCCCAATACTTGCAATTAACTTCAAGTAGAAATAACAAATATTGGAATTGGAGGAAAATTTGCCAATTTTTATCTGGGTTTTGGCTACCTCCCATTCTACTGTCTTATCGCTGAGCCGCATGCTTGGCACTGCAGCTTTTAATACACCCTGCTCGCGCCACCGTGCACGGCCCTTACGAACGGCAGCCCTTGCGTCCTTTTGATATTGAGATATGCACATATTGATTTGATGCTTCGCTGGCAGCATTTTGAGACAGAAAACCATAGTTTTCCGAAACAGTGCTGAACAAAACAAGCTGACTGCGTTGAACAACAATAGCAAAAACTCTCTTAAGACACACGCTTTAGCACACCCTTTTTTTTTTTGGCGCAGAACGCGAAAAACGTGCGAAGGTTTTACGTGTGCGTTGGCCATCTACCTCTGAGCTAGTGTAAGTTATCGAATAACGGCTGAGAGCACTTCAGAGCATTCTTTGATTAAAGTTAAACGACAGAAAAAAAAGTTGATATCTCAGATAGGAAATAATTTCTCTTGAAATTAATTACTGGAAAAAATACGAAAACATTTAATGGCATTGAGCTATATACATGGCTAAAATAAGTAAAAACCAAACATTTTCGACACTTGGTCATCATCACCCTGATGATGACCTACTGTCGACAACATACAGGTTTTATTTTGAAAATATTTTAGCCTTTAACAGTATCTTTTATTCACCTTTCATTCTTGGAAGTTCCATACGTAGCTCTCCTAGTTCTAGTTCTCCTTCAGGATCAGACGTGGGAGATACAAGGAGAGGAGCCGTGTCTAAAAACAAAGGTATACAGAGAGAGATTAGCATTCGATGACTTTTCTTTATTTAAATAGTTAGAAACAAGCATACCAGCTTGTATTTAACGATAGGTACATGAGCACTATAGATTGCCTTTTTTAAACCAAGAAGCTTAAAAACTGAAAAAAAAAAAAAAAAAAGTGGAGAACAGCTACAAAATTTTTCAGTCTACAAGTAAGTATTTATTTATATGTTCATTTTCACATGGGAACTCAGCACTTCCTTAAACTAGAGAAGAGAATGACGTAAAAACACCTTTGAAATAATTTGCATTGACCAGTATTATTTTTTATAATTGCTGACAGAAGCATTCTTGGTATTAATAACATTAATTTCTATTTCAAAAGATGACTAAAATCACATTCAGGTTCTTTTTTCATTTCTCCTTTCTTTTCCTAACAGCTTCAGTCCTACAGCTTTTTTGGCCAATTTATGCACCTATGAATTCTTCCACTTCTTCAACATCAATACATCAAAACAACAAGTCAGTGATTTGCCATGTTGGTTTCCTTTTCATTGGAGCATGTGAGGGGCAACTGAAACCAAACTGGAGCCCATGCTAGACTTCAATAAGTCAACAAAAACAACTGAAAGTGGTAAACCCCACACCTTTTCATTCATTTCAACATGGTTTGATACTGGTAAGAATCATCTAAATAGACTTAAAAGTGGTTTTTTATTTCCCAATAACAAAAAGAAAAACTCAA